AGGATCACAATGTCAGTGCTTTTTGCCTGACGAATGAGCCTGGATAGCTCTCGATAGAAAGTATCCTTCTCCGCATCAGAACTGCAGTCCGTCGGGGCATAAGCCGACACGACAAACAGAAAGAAAGAAAGAAGTAAAGCGTTCAGCTGTAGCACCCTTCCGGTGCCTAGCTGCCATGCCACCCGTAGGAAGCACGAGGGCTGGGATACTGCCAGGTTGCCCAAGCCTAGACAGGGGAAGTCGAGTGGCGGGGGGTCGGGTTCGAACCACGGACCTTCCGGTCAGTAAATTCGCGCTCTAACCACTTGAGCCATCTCGCCCCCACGACAAACAGGCACCGCTTTTTACGCCGCGAAGCATTGAGCTTGATTGAACTGGATAACCGGACGCCACAGAGACGACTGTTCACTGGGATCCAATCCAGCAAAGCGCGTTCAGCTCTGGGGCTGAGTGCAACTCCCACGCCATATATTCCACGAGTCATAGTTTCTGGGTCACCGGACACACGGAGGGAGAAGTGTGAGAGATGAGTTCATCCTTGGCGTTCTGAGATGCACAACCACGCTCGGGTCTTGTATGCGTGTTTCGGAGACACAGCATACATAGATTTTAAGGGAGTACAAGGTTTCAGCAAACATTGCCTGTTTGCCAATTTGACATAGAGTACGGACGTTAAAAGCTCCTACATAGAAAGGATCTCGTAGATTTAGGAAGGTGTTCTTTTGTTTACTGTTTGTAGACAGCGAGGAGCATAATGCCCTTCGGTCAAATAACTGACAGTCAAATGGCCCAGCGACTTTTGCTTGTGCGGTGGGAAGGGGTTGGGGAGGGACATCGGTGGACCCTGAACTGCGCAGGCAAATGCTACTTCCCGGTTGCCCAGGCCGAGGAAGCTGGTTTGGTTGAGCTACCCCACCTAGAGCCTTCGACTCAAAAGTTTGACCCACAAGGAGGTGGGAGGATGTAGAGTTTTGTTCGGGGACCCTAACCCCAGCCTCTGACCCAAAAGTCTGACCCATAAGGCAGTGGGAGAATGTAGGGTTTTGTTCAGGGACCCTGCCCGGAGCCAACGACTCAACAGTCAGACCTGCTCGGCTGCAGGGGGCTGGCTTACCTGAGGGCGTAGGGAATAAGGCATTACTGTCTCATTCCTGATGCGCTGCGCACAGCAAGTGCCTTTTGAGCAGCACTGGGCTCTTTGGTTTTAAAAGTATTTCGACCGTATTGGATAATGCGCCGGCGGTCACTGTCAACCGTTGGGCGATCGGAGTGTGCGGTTTTTCGGGCCGACCTTTTCTAACCATCCATCCATCCTTGGGGAAGACAGCATCGCTACTTCCATAAATATGGACATGCTGGTCGCCTGGGGGAAACACCTTATCGCCTTCACACTCCTGTCGCAGAGGACAGTGCGAATTTTTTCCCGGACCGCCTCGTAGCACGATTACTCGTAGTACGAGGTCTCGCTGCTCTTGATCTGGCTGCTCCCCTTTGGCCTTGCTGGTATGGTTGTACCTTGTGGAACGAAGTCTTCAAACTCACAGGCATCAGAGGCTGGGAGTGAGTCTTTCATAGTCATAGAAAATAATACAAACGTTCACCTGTAAAGCCCTTTCAGTGCTTAGGTGCCATGTCACCCGAAGGAAGCACGAGGGCTGGGATACTGCCAGGTTGCCATAGCCTAGACCTGGTCATATCGATGACGAAGTGGAAGGGTAAAAATGATAGAAGAGAGATTTGGCTGACATCACTTGATGCAATGAATTTAGGCGAGTGCTTCCCGGGTAACTGCACGCATTAGCGGGAGTTCGCGAACAGCCCTTAAAGGAGGGTCGAAAATCAACGAGCGCTTTTGTTAAATACACTGACAGTGCCTGACGACCCGAAAAAAATCGTTCCGCTGTAGCACCCTTTCGGTGCCTAACTACCATGCCACCAGGAAGCACGAGCGAGGGCATAATGTCAGGTTGTCCAAGTTTAGATAAGGGAGGTGGAGAGGCGGAGGTCGGGTTCGAACCACGGACCTTCCGGTCAGTAAATTTTGCGCTATCTTGCCCCCTGCCTGACTGTCCCAGGATCCAAAGACAGCTTTAAAGTCGGAAGAGACCACAATTTTTGGCTGCTTGAAGCAGTGTCGCTCTTCCAGAACCTGGCAGTTGAAAATATGCCCGGTATACCTCTTTGCAGAATAAAACCAAGCTAGGTTTTCACGGGTCTGCCTCCACTTGTGTTCAGCCAACCTTCAAAGGATACGACAGACAGCACCGTCGATGCCAGTGCTACCAGGCTAATTTTATGGCGGTGTTAACAAAGGCACCAGTGCACTTTTTTCGAAGATGTGGATGACTGCCAATGTGCCCTATTTAGCAGGTAATTTATTCTTATTCCATATATCATCAATAAGTTGTCATATGGGATACCAGGGATTCGTCAACTTCTTTGAAGAGGGTCGAATACAGAACAAATGGACCAGGTGCTTTCTTACGTTTCAGTAGCGATATTGCGTATTTTATTTATTCTTTTGACAGGTGGCTAGGGATTCACTACATTCGGCCGCATGCAGTCTCCATAAGCTGATTTGCGCGAGACCCGTTAAACTTCGAAGTGTTAAGCCTATCTTTCCGGTCGGCGTTTTCTCGACTAAATTGATGAGCCGCCCTTTTCGCGTATCATTTCAGTGACCGCTGCTTTCTTATGGCCAGTCGATCGTACTAACTGGTACGACATACTGCTGTTTCCGGTAGCAAAAGCCTTCTCCATATCCTGAGGTTTTACCGCGCACCAAAGCTGTGGGTCTTTCCTTAGTGTTTGTGGGATTTGCCTGCGCGGTTGTACTCGTTGCCTGCTGGTATGGATTTTTCGGCATCAATCAGTACTAGCTATCTCGACGCTATTCACTGAAAAAATCGTTAAGCTGTAAGACGCTTTCGGTGCCTAACTGCCATGCCACCCGAAGGTTGCACGAGAAAAGAAAAGAAAGCGTTCAGCTGTAACACCCTTCCGGTGCCTAGCTGCCATGCCACCTGAAGGGAGCACGAGGGCTGGGATACTGCCAGGTTGCCTGGGATAATGTCAGGTTGTCCAAGTTTAGATAAGGGAGGTGGAGAGGCGGAGGTCGGGTTCGAACCACGGACCTTCCGGTCAGTAAATTTTGCGCTATCTTGCCCCCTGCCTGACTGTCCCAGGATCCAAAGACAGCTTTAAAGTCGGAAGAGACCACAATTTTTGGCTGCTTGAAGCAGTGTCGCTCTTCCAGAACCTGGCAGTTGAAAATATGCCCGGTATACCTCTTTGCAGAATAAAACCAAGCTAGGTTTTCACGGGTCTGCCTCCACTTGTGTTCAGCCAACCTTCAAAGGATACGACAGACAGCACCGTCGATGCCAGTGCTACCAGGCTAATTTTATGGCGGTGTTAACAAAGGCACCAGTGCACTTTTTTCGAAGATGTGGATGACTGCCAATGTGCCCTATTTAGCAGGTAATTTATTCTTATTCCATATATCATCAATAAGTTGTCATATGGGATACCAGGGATTCGTCAACTTCTTTGAAGAGGGTCGAATACAGAACAAATGGACCAGGTGCTTTCTTACGTTTCAGTAGCGATATTGCGTATTTTATTTATTCTTTTGACAGGTGGCTAGGGATTCACTACATTCGGCCGCATGCAGTCTCCATAAGCTGATTTGCGCGAGACCCGTTAAACTTCGAAGTGTTAAGCCTATCTTTCCGGTCGGCGTTTTCTCGACTAAATTGATGAGCCGCCCTTTTCGCGTATCATTTCAGTGACCGCTGCTTTCTTATGGCCAGTCGATCGTACTAACTGGTACGACATACTGCTGTTTCCGGTAGCAAAAGCCTTCTCCATATCCTGAGGTTTTACCGCGCACCAAAGCTGTGGGTCTTTCCTTAGTGTTTGTGGGATTTGCCTGCGCGGTTGTACTCGTTGCCTGCTGGTATGGATTTTTCGGCATCAATCAGTACTAGCTATCTCGACGCTATTCACTGAAAAAATCGTTAAGCTGTAAGACGCTTTCGGTGCCTAACTGCCATGCCACCCGAAGGTTGCAAGAGAAAAGAAAAGAAAGCGTTCAGCTGTAACACCCTTCCGGTGCCTAGCTGCCATGCCACCTGAAGGGAGCACGAGGGCTGGGATACTGCCAGGTTGCCCAAGCCCAGACAGGGGAAGTCGAGAGGCACAGGTCGGGTTCGAACCACGGACCTTTCGGTCAGTAAATTTGCGCTCTAACCACTTGGGCCATCTCGCTATTCACTGGTCAGTTATTCGTACTGGAAATCGGAAAGACAGTACTGAGCACCAATAGCATGGGAATTTTTACACTTTGCCATGCTTCAACCAAGTGCTTGCTACCAGTGGATTATTGGCTCACTGTAGAGAGCAGTTGAGCTAGCTCAAATCGGGACTGCTCAGCAATGGTAGCCCTCCGAAATGGTAGATTGGCATGCTTCCTGCTGAAGGGAAATGAGTTGTCAGATGTGGTCGCACTATGGCGTGTTCAAAATCAGATTATGTACCCCAGAATGGACGGCAGCCTTGAACTGTGGATCGCCACCGATGGGTGGGTCACCTGACCCAGTTGGGTCCATAGTTGGCTTGCACTTGGTGGCAGCCAGCTTATGCGATGTGTACGCTCACGCTGAAAGTTTGTAGATTAAAAAGAGTTTGCGATAAGTCAAGAGGTACTGGGCTTAACTGAAGTGGACAGCCGAAAGGCGCAAAGACGACTACTGTCGTCTTGCTCTGGGGCTGGGTACAATTCCCACGCCATATGCTCCACGAGTCGTTGATTCTGGATCATCTGACACACGGAATGAAGTGTGAAGGAGATGCGTTTGTCCTTGGCGTTTTAATGTGTATAACTACGTTTGGGTGCTGCATGCGTGCTTCAGAAACACAGAATATATAAATTTTAAAGGAGTACAGGGTTTCCGTAAGTACTGTCTGTTCGCCAATTTGACATGGAGTATGGACGTTGAAAGTCCCTATGTAGGAAGTATACTTTCCGGATATGTCCGGAAGACAGCCGACCTTAATGACCGCAGCGCAGTTGAAACAGTCTTGAAGCGACTTCATGAAGAATTAGGCCATGATGGACAAAACAAACTGGAAGAGTCAGCACGTCGCAGATTTTGGTGGACACATATGCGGCGTGATATTGCGCTATTCTGTCAATCGTGCACAGAGTGTGGCCAAGTAAAGGACCGAAGACCAAGTGCCCCGGCACCACTGCCAACGATTAAATGTGGGGTCCCCTAACGAGTTGGTTGGTGTGGATATCATCTGGCCGTTGCCTAGAACGGACCGAGGCAACATGTAAATCCTGGTGATGGTCGATCATTTCACCAAGTGGTGCGAGGTTATTCCAATTCCAAAGCTGGATGCCTGGACAGTGGCCAAAGCGCTGTTCACCGAGTGGATCGCGCGTTGGGGTGTACCCTACCGAATACACACTGACCAAGGCTTCAACTTCGAAAGCCTCTTGTTCAAAGAGTTGTGCCACATACTGAACATAAAAAGACTCGCACTACGGCGTATCACCCCGAGGGCAATGGGATGGTGGAGCGCACAAATCTACCTTTGAAAGGTTTGCTGAAAGTCTTTATCAACCACGAGACATTCGAACAGTGGGATGTTGCACTACCACCTTGTCTACTGGCTTACCGCGCTACTATCCAGGTACCTATCGGACAGACCCCATCCTTTATGACGACAGGTCGGGAGATGCGACTTCGTTCCGATACAATCCTACCTATCCCGGATCCAGAGGCGTTGTATTCTTCAGTGTTCGCGCGACGCATGCAGGCCGGTCTCGTTCGCAGCCATGAACTGGCTCGACAACACTTGCGTGCCGCTCGGAGATACCAGAAAGAGTACTACGATAAAACTGCGCAAGATAGGTTGTTCAACCCTGGCGACAGGGTTTGGTTGTATGAGACCGTTCCACCTGTTGGTATAACGTCTAAGTTCCATAGGGCTTGAAAGGGACCGTATACGATAGAGCAAGCCATCACCGACGTAACCTATCGA